GCGGGAGCGCCGCCGCGCTTCTCAAGCAGCGCACTTATCCAGTGCGCCACCGGGCTGGCCCGAAAATAAAGTCTATTAAGAAAAAAAAGACAAACAGCGATTTCCATTATGTGGCTGCAGCCTACATTTTCAGCTTAACCTCTACATCCCTTACATCACATTCTGCACTTCCACTTGAAATTGCATGCTGTTCCCATCACCACCACATTGTTTCCAGCCTCTGTCTTTGATGGAGCTATCGCCTCTGACAATGTAACCAAGCCATACTTAGTCTTTGTGACTCATCTTCTAGGATGACTCTTTCACTCTCTGCTCTCAGGAAAAGGTAGGTAGCTCTCCTCTGCACTGCCATAATACCATGTGCATACCTCTAGGGCTGGATTTAGCACATTGTTTTATTAATCCACAAAAATGGGTCTAAGTGGATCATTAGCCTCTGAGTTTCCTGAGTACAGAACTATGTGTTATTTTTCTTTGAATTGTTATGATTTAGGGAAATGCCTAACATTTAAATGTTGAGTAAAAGTCTCACATTTTATCAAGAGAAAGAAAAAGGAAATTTCTGAGGTCATCTCTCATACTTGCATGAGGTTTTGAGGCATATCCAGCTTAATATATTCCGTATTCAAAGAGTAAAAATAAACAAAAAGGTAAAATTACTAATGAGCATTTCTAAAGAGACTATTTCTCTGGCAAGGAAGATAATAATCAATATTTCTAATAAAGGCTTTTTACCAGCATCAATCCTAGCATCAATGAGTATAAAGTTGAATGCAATAACTACTACTGGAATCATAGCAAACACTTATATACTGTTTTAAAACTGCTTAAAGTCTCAAATGAACTCAGTGCCTTTGTGGTCAAAATTATACAAATGAAAGATTCCAAAATAAGTCATAAAGTTTCAATCTCTCTACAGAAAAATTAAAATACATTATTTAACAGATATAGTAGACATGAAAAACAAATTTCAAATTTAGCTTTGTGTAATGGAAAGAACCACAGAGTCATAGGATTAAGGTCTTGGATTTGACCCTTTTTAGAGGTGCATAGCTAGTATGTACACTTAAATATTCTATTCTTACTTTTTTATCTCACAGGGTTGTTGGGAAGCAAATGAATCACTTACACAAACCATTGTATAATACCTTACATTTTGCCATCTCCTCGAACTGCTTTACCTCTAAGATCACAAACTTAACTTTTTGGCAACAATCACTTTTTGATGACAATCTTCCACATTTTCAGCACTCTAAATCTACTGATTCCTGTGTTTAATGTTGGGTTTTGTATTGACTTCCTATTCTTCATTTT